GATATGATTTTATCTAAGGCTCCCTCCAATGGTTGCAGCGATGTACTAAAATTTTCCCTTGCTAGCCTCTTTGTCTTTGCCATTGGTCCCAACTTTCGCATTTTTAAAGAAGGACTTACTCTTTGGCGATTCTTGTCTTTCACCTTTACATCCTTTCACATTCTTTGATGGCCGACCTCTATTTCTTAGCCCATCAATAGAATCTTTCAGTTGTATACAATCATCCTTGTGGGGGTCGTGACCTTTATAGAAATGACAATACTTAGTCTTGTTTGTCTGGGATGACTCTTTGGTGGGAAAAGAGGCCATGACTCTTCCTTTACAAAACTATGTGTTAGTAGAATATTGATTTTTTTCCCAAGAGATATTCAACTGTATGTATTTTTAATACAAGCCACATGTTACTTAATCATATTCATGTTCTGTTGGTGGGAATCCTTCTTGATTGAGCAACTCGAATTAGTATCGGTGGATACCGAGTTGTCAAACCGGATGGTCAATGTTTCCTTAAGGTTAATGAAATACTAATCCTTACTCAACATCTCCTATATGGTGTGCACTTGTTTCCTTGTCAGCTTCTGCCTAAAGCGGATGTCCTATAGTAGGTCCTTTTCAAAAATCCAGCGCTTGATCCCTTTATTTCCTTGAGTGATCCCGCTAGAGGAAGCTACCACCACTGGGTGCCTATTCTAGGAAGTGAAATGGGCGGTGAATTTCTCATAAAAGTTCGTCCATAATTTAATGCTCTCGTGCGACAAAGCAATGAACCACTGCCTGGCCGATCCGATCAAAGTTAACGCGAATAACTTACACTTTGAGGCCTTGTCTGCTTGGAATTAATTCAACCATTCATTGAAGAGTTGCACATGCTTATTTGGATCTCCCTTCCCATTGTATTCACTTAGTTTAGAAAACTTCTCTATTGACTTAGGTATTCTGCCATCTAGAATGCGGACACAGAAAGCTTGATTTTGTAGATTCTTTGGTAGCTACTTTTCTACCTGGTCATGTGTAAGAGTGTGACTTTAGAGCTTTATCTCTTCCGGATGCACGGTCGGCTCTGGTATATCGCTTAATGCTCTTAGACATAGCTTATTGAGCGGTGTTTCCTCGCGAAGGCACATTTAGTAAGCTTTCTTCAAGGAAAAATAATCTCTTCTTAATTTCATGTGGATTCTACAGCTGAATGATGTTATACACATGGTTCAGTAGTTTTTTGGAGCCCTGTATCCTGAGGTAGCCTCACAATATTTGGAAACCAGACAAGGCTTTTGGTTGCAATGCTAGAGATGGTATCAAAGATGCTAGGGGAGATCCAAAGATCTGAGGAACTTATAGCAGATCTGAATGCAACAGAGTGTCTGCTACTTGATCTGAAGGCTATGAGGATGATACATGAGATTAATTAACCTCTATTGAATAACAGTGTTCGCGACAATGGCTTTGCGTACCACAGAGGAACGAGTAGCTCGATATCTTACCTTTGCTGAGAAGTATGGAAGTCATGAATCTAGAAATTTAAGGAGTCAAAGTTGATATGCTACATGATCAGATCGAACATGATGGATATTGATGTTCAATTATGAGAAATTTTGATTCGATAAACAGAAAAGGTTTCTAATCGATGAATCGAAGAGCGAACATGCAATTGTGGAAAATACGAGAATCGGAATTCAATTCCCATAGATGGTGCCACTGTTCTGTTGCAGAACTTAAAATGGAGTAAGAATCAGTGATTAGAGGAACGTGTACTCCACTCTTGGGCTAAACACATTGAAGTTAGGCACCACTTTATTAGAGATCATGATAAAAAAGGAGAATGCATGCTTGAATTTGCAACCTCATCTAATCAACTTGCAAATATTTTTACCAAACCACTTCCTACAGATTTTTTTTTTCATGAGAATTGAATTAGGAATATTAAACAAATTATGCATGGACTAAAATTTCCTGCATGCCATTGATGTTGATAGATGTGCTTATGTTTGCATACTTTACTTCTCGTATTTCATAGTTTTATCTACCTTTTGGATTTTCGAAAATGATGAGAAGTATACTCTCATGGGGAGTAGGGTATCCTATATACTTAATTGAGGGAATGTTTAATCACTCCAAACCTATATTTGTTATTTATTTTACCAACTACCTGAGAGATGCGTTGTCATTATAAAAAAGGAATAGAATATGAATCTATGTGATTGCAAGTATATAATTTAAAATCTCGCAAAAAATTCATCTGAAGTTTTGATGATGACAACGATTATTGAAGTCAACGACAATAGCCTTCAACCTCGATGATGGTGATCTAACTAGAGAAATATCACATGCCTCATCAAGAAAATGAGACTCAAGATTAAAACCCTTATATTCTACAAGCAATCTTGAAGCCTCGGATAAAGTGTGAAAACTTGTCAGGTCATGTTTGCCTGTCGGTTTGAGTGACTCGAGTTTTATAAAAGTAAGGAAATAATTTTGAAGTACTAAGGCAAGTCAAACACACACCTTAAAATATATTTTTCAAATGTTTTATTTTGAAAATTATTTTCTAAGCCTAGGCAAGAGATTAAGAAGTTTCCCAAGCAATTTTTGAACTAAAAAATTGATTGGTAATTTGTGTCAATCGGTTGACAAAACGCTTCTGAGTCGGTCAATCGATTAGAGCATTATGCCAATGGATTAGAGATGTGTTAATCAATTAACCAATTGATTAGTACATCACATTAATGACTTGCAAAAACTCTAAATCAAATACTTCCTACTTTGGCATGATAACCGGTTAAAAATGAGCTAGCTAATCGATTGACTAATCAATTTTGCTCATGGATCATTTCCTTTTTTAGATTTTCGTACTTCTATATAAAGGAGGCTCGCCTCCTCTTAAATTCACACCACTTTACAACTATTTAAATTTTCATTAGAGTTTATGTCTCTAATTTTCTTCTCTCTCTCTTTCTCTAGTAAATATTTGTATCACTTTAAATTGCCTTAGTACTTGTAAGTGGAGTTTTGCTTGTGATGAACAATTTTTGTAAGTGGTTACGCTATTTTTTTAATATTCTTGAGAGTGCAATATACTTGAGAGAATCGAATTTAGTTCGTGAGATTAATTAATCTTAAATTCTTTGTTTTAATTTGTTGGATTTTGCCGGAAAAAATCTTTCTTTTGATTATTGAGATCAACATGAAAATCTCTAAGAAGGTTCTAACTTATCCTATGGTAAAATTATTTGTGATTTGGGATATGCTTGTAAAAATATCAAGATCAGCTTGTATTAAGGTTCGTTGGTATAACTTTCAAACGTTCAAAGTTTATAATCAAAGCCTTAAAAAGATTTCTTGAAAACAGGACCAAGCCAACATTCGACCAAACATGTATAACTCTATGGTCTAATCTCCCTAACCCTATCCTTTTAAGTTTTGCTTTTTTACTTTATTATTTATTTTTGCTGCAATTCACTCATACGAAACTACTAACACGATTTTAATCGAAAAAAGTATAAAAATAATTGCGAATTTTAAATATCACAATTCACCTCTATTGTATTTGAAATCACTTTTCTTGATCAAAACATTTTCCTTCCTTAAATGTATTCTGATTCTTACATGACCAAACCATATTCAGTGAGCTTCAGCTTTGAACACAATTGCAGGAATTATCATAGCTATAGTAACAATCATCATAAAGATATTCAATCAGAATTTTGAACTGTTGCTGCATAATACTGATCATCCATGCAATGTCAAGAATTGTTCAGCCTAGTAAAATCTGCAACAATCAAAATCGCGAAAGGAACTATGCATGAATAAGTACTTAGTACCAACATAATATAGCACTAGATTCATAATTCCATGTAACAAAAAGAATTACACTAATTTTTATGATTTTACTGTTATAGTGTGTAGTATAATGTGTCACTGCAATCATAATCCCATGCATAGCACCAATTGCATGCATAGTTTGTATGCAACACCAGTTCTTGTTGTATAGATTACGATCTCTTCCCAAAATATGGATCAATGCTGGGAGAAATATGTCATATACAAGTTGCGACCCATTCGAATTTTCAAAATGCATATAGACGGCATATTAGATTTAGAAGTGTTTCAAAATCTTCAACTTAAATAATTTTTCTTATCTTCATCATAAAAAATTTGTCATCTTAACCCGTATGCATATTATTTTTCAAGAAAACATTTGCTTTTAATTCATAAAATCATACTACGTTACAACTTTCATTACAAGAAAAATCGGATTTAGCTAGGGGTTAAATCTCTCACTAAATCAAAAAACCCATCACAAAACCATAATTTGCGAGGGGACAGAACCCCTAGCTAATCAGGGCATCACAAATAATTTGTGAGGGGATAAGCTCATCGCAAAAATGGCTAGGGTATAAGCCCCTCGCAAAATGTAATAAAAAAAAATCCTCCTCCTGCACCATAGACGTAGCCACAGACTAGAGTCACAGAGGGGTTTAGATCTGTCACAACAGATTGCGAGGGAATAAGCCCCTAGCTAAGTCACGTGATTCCTTAAATTAGTGAGGGGTGAATCCCCTAGTCAGGTGTGTAATGCATTTGCAAGGGGTTAAGCCCCTAGCCAGATGTCCCACATTTTGGGATTTGCGAGGGGTTAACCCTAGCCAATAATCATATATTTTTTTTAAATTAATAATTATATTGAAATAATTATATTAGAATAATAATATTATATATAATAAATTTTTATTACATTTTATAATTATATTATTATAATTAGAATAATATAATTATATAATAAAATATATATATTATATAATAAATTTTTATTACATTTTATAATTATATTATTATAATTAGAATAATATAATTATATAATAAATAAAAATATATATTTTGTAAAATAATAATTTAGAACTAAAAGTATAATAAAAGTAAATATCCAAATCCATCATTAAAATAAAAATAATTCATGACAAAAATAAAATAAAATGTACAAATATATATAATTCATGACATATTTAGTCAACTTCTTCATCATCCTCCTCATCTTCCTCATTTCTTCCTCCTACACCTTGATTCATATGCATTGCCATAAATTGTTCAAATTTCAATGCGCGCTCATTTGCAGTCTGCATTGCTTCCTCATACTCCGCTGTTTTTCTCTTCAATTCTTCCTCCATTTGAGCTTGTCTTCTCCTCATTTCCTCCATCTCTGCTTGTCTAGCTGCTGCCTCACGTGCTGCCTCGGTCTGGGTCAAATTTCTCACAGTTTCAAGCATATCGGCGGTTAATATAGGTGGACGCGATGATCCTTCTCCATCATCAAGTCTCATCCTGAAAGTCCTATCACGTCGCTTAATTGTTTTGGCATACCCTCCAGCACCATACACCCTTCCATTTTTCCTTTTCCTGCGAGCAGCATCATACCAAGTCTGAAAACCTAAACAAGGATCAACAGGGTATCCCTGTGGTGGTGGAGGTAACTCAGGATGCTCAGATAAAGAAAGTGCAAGTCTTCGATCATACTCCTCCTATACAAAAAATTTAGATGTTATAATAATTTAAATAAGATGACTAAATAACATGTTATAAAAGAAAGAAATAAAATGACTAGATTATAGTAAAACTTACTTGAGTTTTCTTTGAGCGTTTATCGACAAACTCCCCATTTTTCTTGATATGAGTCTCTAGATGGATCTCATTAAGCATCGGAGTTCTACCCAACTCATCACGCTAATAAAATAAAACATATAAGTGAAAAAATAGTTTGTTTTAATCTAAATTTTAAATGAAAACTTAAGTAAAATAAATATATTTACCAGCCTATGTGCAATTTCAGCAACACTAATACTTCCGGCTGCGTAGTTGCAGCCACCAATTTCAGATGCCCTTTTTTTTTTTGCTTTTTCAGATATTTGCTTAAAGGATTCTGAATTCCAATGGTCAATAAGTTGCTTAAATACATTTTCACCTATCCAACAGGGACGTGTTCTTTTATTTTCCCAATTAATTCGAACACGTCTAAGTGTGCCGGATAATCGGGCAGCACATTTTATATCAAAATTTTCTCTTACTTGTTGCTGCTCTGTAAAGCCCCAAACATATTTCTCCTACATTGTTTTATGAATTTTAAAAAATTAAATAATGTTAAATCATGAAATAAACTAAATATATAAGAAATTAAAATAATAGTTACTTTTATACCTGAAATAAACTAAACCAATCTTCCTTTTCTGTTTCGTTTAGTGCTCCATATGTCGGTCAAAACTTTTTATACTTTTCTTTAATAACTTCTGTTATACACGATACTGCCTGGTGTGATGGTATAAGGCTAACCAAAAAAAATCTTGAGTTACCTACCAAAAAAACTCAAATTTAAATTTTAAAAAAATAATATATAAAACATACCTTCCTCCATCGCAACGAATGACATATCATCCCTTGTATTTTCTAATTGTTTGCGGCTTTGCATTTCTCAAAATGCGTGCCCTCCGTCGCTCCTCATGAGAACTATCAGGAGCACTAGTATCTCCATGATCATAAGAACTGGTACCTCCATGACCATGAGCACTAGTATCACCCTCATCACCCTGCTCATCATGTGTAGAATGCACAGGTGATGAATGTGGCATGCCAGATCCACCAGCCTTCGTATATGGCATAGAATACTGCATGGAAGGCATCGGAACACTAGGCCCGCTTGAATTCATGGAAGGCATCAGAAAATATGAGGGATGCGGGGTACTGGGATGCATAATAGGTGCATATCCAGGAGGACTAATAAAGGTCGGCGCAGATATTGGTGGGAATGAAGGAAAATCAGGTGTGGATAGTAATCCGGTGAAAGATCCGCCAGATATAGGTGAAGTCTGCATATGAGGTGGAGTAGGGGGCACAGGCAATGGAGTAGGATGCACCTGACTCGAAAGTGGCATAGAAATAAACATAGACGAATCTGGAACCTCTTCTACAACAAACCTTGTGTGGCGAGTCTTACCCTTACCCTTTTCCTCACTTCGGGGTGGCATTTTTAAACTAAAATATTTCATAAAATGACAAAAGTAAATTAATTCAAGAAATTACACAAAAGTATTATATATATATATATATATATATATATATATATATATATATATATATATATATATATATATATATATATATATATATATATATATATATATATATATATATATATATATATATATATATATATATATATATATATATATATATATATATATATAACAATACATATTACATAGTAGTATTATTACACAATAGTATAATTACATAGTAGTATTATTCATCATTGTAATCGTCACTGTCTTCATCAGATACGATATTGTCGTTTTTAGAATCTCCTGACTCTTCCTCCTCTTCTTCCACATGATTTGCTAATAACAAGATGGTTGCATCAACTTGTTGACCCACAACCACAGTATCACCCAAAATTGTAATCTCCTCAATTTCAATTACCCAATTCACGGGTGAAATCTCATCATCTTGGTATGCAACATCATCTTCCATTACACCGTCAGATTCAATATAACTCATTGGATTGGACTTGATTACAACACACCATCCTCGTTTACTTGGTTGAATTGAAGGATAAGGAACATAGTAAACTTGCCTAACATTATGTGCCATTATGAAAGGGTCATACTCTTTGTACTTTCGATCCATTCGTATCTCAACAGTGTTATATTTTTTATCTATTTTAGTTCCTCTGGAAGATGGATCGTACCAATCACAATAAAATAGGACAACTTTATTTTCCGAGTCCATATAGTTATATACCAACTCATAAATATGTGTGATAACACCATAAAAGTCGTCCTCACCACCCTCTGTAACTCCTTTTACAACTACACCAATGTTTATTGTTTTCTTCCCTTCTGTCCATGTTTGAGTGTGGAATTTATATTCGTTTACAAAATAAGTGTGTCATTCATTTGCATGCTGATGAGGGCCTTCAGATAAACTTCTCAAATGAATTATTTCAGGACTTGGTGCAACAATGCAATATAATTGTTGCTTGAACCATGCTGGAAAATAGGCATGTGTGTAACCTGTCGATGGTTGTTCACCCGTGCTTTGAAAATAATAAGTATTAAATGCCCTATTTCAAAGAAGAAAAAATCTATGTTAAATAAGTATATTTAACAAAAAGAAATACAAACTTAATTTAATATACTTACTCAAGATATGGTTTAACTTCAACGCAGTTAATCAACACATGAACATGAGCAGATTGCATTTCTTTTTCAGACAACCAATGCACACTTATCTTTCCAGAAGGACGACCGAGACAGCCAAAAACCGATAAGGTGAATTGACTTCTTTCACTAAATTGAACTTCATTCCTTATGATTCTCGGAGTCAACATCATATGATTGAAATAATGTGAGCAAAAATGTGAAGTTTCTCGATGTAAATAATATGCACATATTGATCCCTCAACTCTCGCCTTATTTTTCACAGATCGCTTTGAGTCACCCATGAATCGTTCAAATGGATACATCCATCTATATTGAACAGGTCCACCAAGGTAAGCTTCGTAAGCAAGATGCACAGGGAGATGCTCCATAGAATCAAAGAAACCAGGGGGGAAATATTTGCTCTAACTTGTAGAGAATGATGGGAATATTTTGGTCCAACTTAAAGATGTCATCCACTCGTAAAGTTGACGCACAAATGTCTTTAAAAAATTGACTAATCTCAATTAGTGGATTAAAAACATGCTTAGGAAGTGAACTGAATGCAATTGGAAGCAATCGTTCCATAAAAACATGACAATCATGACTTTTCATTCCATGCAGCTTTCCTGTTTTTGCATCAGCACATCTTGCTAAGTTAGAAGAATAACCATCGGGCATCCTCAACTCATTTAACCATAGACATACTGCTTTTTCTTCTTGGGGAGTAAGAGTGTAACAAGCCTTGGGTTTTAATAATTTTCCATTTTGTTGGGGTTTTAACTCCAAGTTTTTTCGATTACACAAAAGTTCCAAGTCCTTTCTAGCCTTCTCATTATCTTTTGTCTTGCCTTGGACATCCATCACTGTGTTAAATACATTATCAAAAAAATTCTTCTCAATATGCATAACATCAAGATTATGTCGCAACAAATTATCCTTCCAATATGGGAGGTCCCAAAAAATACTTCTCTTTGTCCAATTGTGAGTATCCCCATATCCTGGAATTCTGCATGTTTTACCATTATCTGTGAATTTTGGCAGGTCACTAACACTATTCCATACTTCAGTCGATGACAGTCGAGGGGGAGGAAGATCTGTTACTTTTATTCCTTTTCTAAAGGCATTCTTATTTTTTCTAAAAACATGGTTCATAGGTAAGAATCTACGGTGACAGTCAAACCATGAACTTTTACCACCCATTTGCAAAGTAAACGCTTTTGTGTGTCCCATGCAATGTGGACATCCCATTTTGCCATGCGTACCCCAACCAGACAACATGCCATATGCAGGAAAGTCATTAATTGTCCACATCAAAGTAGCTCGCATATTAAAGTTTTGTCTGCGAGACACATCATAAGTCCATTCTCAAATCCATAACCTCTTCAAATCATCAATTAAAGGTTGCAAATAAACATCTATTCCCGCTTTTGGACTCGACGGTCCTGGAATGAGGCATGTCAAAAACATGTAAGGTTTTGTCATGCACATCTCAGGAGGGATATTGTATGGGGTAACAATAACTGGCCAACAATAATAGGCAATTGCTGACGATTGGATATAAGGAGTAAAACCATCTGAGCATAACCCGAGCCTGACATTTCTGGGTTCTGCTACAAAATCTGTATGTACTCTATCAAAGTGTTTCCATGCCTCGCCATCAGATGGATGTCGCATCATGCCTGAACTATTGGAATTTGTATGATGCCATGTCATTTGGCTTGCACTATGAATTGACGCAAACATCCTTTGCAATCTAGGAATTATTGGCAGATAGAACATGGATTTCACTGCAACTCGTTTTTGTTTTTTATCAACACCTTTACCGTGAACTAAATACCTCGGACTCTGACAAAACTTACATTCCTCCAATCCCCCATCATTTGTACCAAACTCGTTATCATAAAACAACATACAACCTTCAATGCAACAATCAATCTTTTTCACTTTTAATCCCAACTTCGACACCATTCTCTTCGCATCATAATAACTTTTAGGCATGTTTTCTTTCACAGGAGTCGCATCCAACATCATTTTTGCAAAGAATTCTAAACACTGATCAGGAACATTCAAATTTGACTTCGCGGCCAAGAGTCTCACACACATGGATAACATGGAGTCAAAAGACCCCTCAAACAGTGGTACAATAGTTGATAAAACTTTTGCGCTTCCTCGTTCGGGAGCTCATCTGCATTGAAATCTTGAGGTTCATCATAAGTCACATTCACCCCTAATGCATCACCAACCATATCATCTATGACATTAAATTGTTCATGGTCTTGCAAATGTGATTGACTGCTTGTGGGAGAAATGGAGAAGAAAGAAGGAATAAACGTATAAATGTGTGGGCTGTGATATAAATTTGGCATTTAATATTTTATTTTGTGAGGGGCAACTCCACGCAATGCTCAACGGTCACATGACGTGGCGTCATTTGCGAGGGGCCACTCCACGCAGGATATTAGTAAGCAATTTGCGAGGGGCATCCCCTAGCCAACTTTTGCGTGTGGC